ACTTTCCATGTTTGAAGGAAGTCTTGCAGAATTGCTGCGTTTTTGCTGTTGTAAACTTCGCAAATTGAGGCAGTCCTGCAGAATTGCCTCGTTTTTGACATTGTCAAGTTCAAAACCTGAGGAAGTCTCGCAGAAATGCTGCATTTTTTATGTTGTCAAGTTCAAAAACTGAAGTCTCGCAGAATAGCTTTGTTTTCAAGATCCACAGATAGATAGATAGATAGATAGATGGATAGATAGACAGGTAGATAGACAGCTACAATTGCAACTACACTACTAAGACAAATACATGTACAATATACTACGGTACATTACCCTACACCAATTACATTACACTACGCTGATTACACTACACTACACTAATTTCAGTACAGTACGCTAATTACACCACAGCAACAACTACTACTACTACTAATGCGGTATACAGATTAGTGTGGGGATACAGAATTGTGTCCACAGACACCACAATTATTTTGTAACTTTGGAAATGATTGAGGGGTACAGTTTTGTGTCCACAGGATTTTGGTGTAAGTTTTTTTCAGTTTCTTTTTTTTAAGTTTTTAATTGTTTTAAATTATTTTTTATTTTTCAATTAATCAAAATAATGTTTAATTGAATTATTTTTTATTTTATTATTTTAATTTAACATTTTTTAAGAATATAATACATATATTTATTTATTTTATTATATTATTTTAATTTAACATTTTTTTAAAAATAATAAATATATTATATATATAATCATTACCATTCAATTGTGTGACAAATTTAAATTTATGTCTTGATCTTGTCTGGGGTACAATATTGTGTCTTGGTCTTGTTTCTGTTTGTTCACACATTTTTCATTTTTTTCATTTTTTAAAGTTTTTTCTTTTACTTCTTATTTTCCATCATTGAAATTTTCCAGGTGCCTTCCACAGAAAATTACATCCAGGTACACAATAGTGTGGTTTGTTTGGAGGGTACACTATTGTGTCCTGCTGCTTCCTGAGGTCATGATTTTTTTGATTTTTGCAATCATTTCCTTTACCTTTTCCTTTGCTAAAGTTTTTTCTTTTAACTACTTAATTACTTTCTTAGTCTCTTTCATTTGAAATTCTCAGAAATGCCCAGTTTCCCAAAATATATGATGCCTTATTAAACCCAATTAAAAACATCACTCAAACAATTTTTCAAGGGGGTAGTCCATGAGCAACCCTGATACACAATAGTGTGGTTTGTTTGGAGGGTACACTATTGTGTCCTGCTGCTTCCTGAGGTGATTTTGATTTTTTCAATCATTTCCTTTACCTTTTCCTTTGCTAAAGTGTTTTCATTTAATTACTTAATTACTCTCTTAGTTTCTTTCATTTGAAATTCTCAGAAATGCCCAGTTTCCCAAAATATATGATGCCTTATTAAAACCCAATTAAAAAAAACGTCGCTCAAACAATTTTTCAAGGGGTAGTCCATGAGCAACCCTGATACACAATAGTGTGGTTTGTTTGGAGGGTACACTATTGTGTCCTGCTGCTTCCTGAGGTCATGATTTTTTGAGTTTTTTCAATCATTTCCTTTACCGTTTCCTTTGCTAAAGTTTTTTCTTTTAATTGCTTACTTACTTTCTTAGTTTCTTTCATTTGAAATTCTCAGAAATGCCCAGTTTCCCAAAATATATGATGCCTTATTAAACCCAATTAAAAACATCACTCAAACAATTTTTCAAGGGGGTAGCCCATGAGCAACCCTGATACACAATAGTGTGGTTTGTTTGGAGGGTACACTATTGTGTCCTGCTGCTTCCTGAGGTCATGATTTTTTGATTTTTTCAATCATTTCCTTTACCTTTTCCTTTGCTAAAGTGTTTTCTTTTAATTACTTAATTACTCTCTTAGCTTCTTTCATTTGAAATTCTCGGAAATGCCCAGTTTCCCAAAATATATGATGCCTTATTAAAACCAAATTTTAAAAAAAAAACATCACTCAAATAATTTTTCAAGGGGGTAGTCCATGAGCAACCCTGATACACAATAGTGTGGTTTGTTTGGAGGGTACACTATTGTGTCCTGCTGCTTCCTGAGGTGATTTTGTTTTTTTGCAAACATTCCTTTACCTTTTCCTTTGCAAAAGTGTTTTTCTTTTAATTACTTAATTACTTTCTTAGTTTCTTTCATTTGAAATTCTCAGAAGTGCCCAGTTTCCCAAAATATATGATGCCTTATGAAAACCCAATTACAAATCATCACTCAAACAATTTTTCAAGGGGGTAGTCCATGAGCAACCCTGATACACAATAGTGTGGTTTGTTTGGAGGGTACACTATTGTGTCCTGCTGCTTCCTGAGGTCATGATTTTTTGATTTTTTCAATCAGTTCCTTTACCTTTTCCTTTGCTAAAGTTTTTTCTTTTAATTACTTAATTACTTTCTTAGTTTCTTTCATTTGAAATTCGCAGAAATGCCCAGTTTCCCCAAATATATGATGCCTTATTAAAACCAAATTTTAAAAAAAAAACATCACTCAAATAATTTTTCAAGGGGGTAGTCCATGAGCAACCCTGATACACAATAGTGTGGTTTGTTTGGAGGGTACACTATTGTGTCCTGCTGCTTCCTGAGGTCATGATTTTTTGATTTTTTCAATCATTTCCTTTACCTGTTCCTTTGCTAAAGTTTTTTCTTTTAACTACTTAATTACTTTCTTAGTTTCTTTCATTTGAAATTCTCAGAAATGCCCAGTTTCCCAAAATATATGATGCCTTATTAAAACCCAATTAAAAAAAAACATCACTCAAACAATTTTTCAAGGGGGTAGCCCATGAGCAACCCTGATACACAATAGTGTGGTTTGTTTGGAGGGTACACTATTGTGTCCTGCTGCTTCCTGAGGTGATTTTGATTTTTTCAATCATTTCCTTTACCTTTTCCTTTGCTAAAGTGTTTTCTTTTAATTACTTAATTACTCTCTTAGTTTCTTTCATTTGAAATTCTCAGAAATGCCCAGTTTCCCAAAATATATGATGCCTTATGAAAACCCAATTAAAAATCATCACTCAAACAATTTTTCAAGGGGGTAGTCCATGAGCAACCCTGATACACAATAGTGTGGTTTGTTTGGAGGGTACACTATTGTGTCCTGCTGCTTCCTGAGGTCATGATTTTTTGATTTTTTCAATCAGTTCCTTTACCTTTTCCTTTGCTAAAGTTTTTTCTTTTAATTACTTAATTACTTCCTTAGTTTCTTTCATTTGAAATTCTCAGAAATGCCCAATTTCCCAAAATATATGATGCCTTTTTAAAACCCAATTAAAAATCAGCACTCAAACAATTTTTCAAGGGGGTAGTCCATGAGCAACCCTGATACACAATAGTGTGGTTTTTTGTTTGTTTGGAGGGTACACTATTGTGTCCAGATGCTTCCTGGTGTGATTTTGCTTTTTTTTGCAATCATTTCCTTTACCTTTTCCTTTGCTAACGTTTTTTCTTTTATTGTATTTCTGTGGGATTACTATTGGATTTCTATGGAATTCCTATGGGGTTTCCATGATGTTTCTATGATATTTCTGGAGGATTTCTATGGGATTTCTGAAGGGGTGCTATGGGAGTTCTATGGTATTCTTATAGGATTTCCATTGGATTCCTATGGGATTTCTATGGTATTTCTATTGGATTCCTATGGAATTTCTATTGGATTCCTGTCGGATTTCCAATGTATTTCCATGCTGTTTCTATGATATTTCTATGGAATTATTATTGGAATTCTTATGGGATTTCTTTTGTGGTTCCTATGCTATTCCATGTTATTTCTATGATCTTTCTATGGGATTTCTGTGAGATTCCTATGGGATTTCCATGGTATTTCTATGATATTTCTTTGGGACTACTATTGGATGTCTATGGGATGTCGATTGAAAGTAAATTGGCAGTAAATTGAAATCAATTCAAAGTAAATTCAAAGTAGCTTGAAATCAATTCAACGTAAATTGTAATCAATTTAAAGTAAATTGAAATCAATTGAAAGTAAATTGAAATCAATTGAAAGTAAATTGAAATCAATTCAAAGTAAATTGAAATCAATTGAAAGTAAATTGAAATCCATTCAAAGTAAATTGAAACCAATTCAAAGTAAATTGAAATCAATTCAAAGTAAATTGAAATCAATTGAAAGTAAATTGAAATCAATTCAAAGTAATTAAATTGAAATCAATTCAAAGTAATTTGAAATCAATTGAAAGTAAATTGCAATCAATTCAAAGTAAATTGCAATCAATTCAAAGTAAATTGAAATCAATTCAAAGTAAATTGACATCAATTCAAAGTAAATTGACATCAATTCAAAATAAATTGAAATATTTGAAATCAATTGAAATCTATCATTTTTCGATTTCACACTATTGCGTGCTCGATACCTTGTTTTTTCCACACTATTCTGTACCCAAAATTTGTTAAGGGGGGAGGCTGTACTAATCTGTAAACTACATTACTACTACTACTACTACTACTACTCCTACTTCTACTACTACTACTACAACTACCACAACTACAACTACAACTGCAACTACAACAACTACAAATTCAACTGCAGCTACGCCACACTATATTACACTGAACTAATTACACCACACCACAACTACAACTACAACTGCAACTACAAATACACTACACTAATTACACTACACTATGACTACAACTCCACTAGGCTACAACTACAACTACGATCGCAATACAACACACTACATCCAGCAGTTGTGGGTGAGGTGACCACTGCAACCATTGCAACGCCTCCAAAAAAACACAACTCCAACCACCTTTCGGTCCATCAGTGGGTTCGCTCTGCCATTCGTGATTCAAAACAACCAATCTCTCCTATAGGTTTCCAATCTTTGAAACTTCCGCCACCGCCTTGCGCGGTACTACTGGTATCATTTTCCCTTTTGGCTATACTTGGGATATCTTGGGATATACCCGATTTTCAGACACACCCAGATCTTGGCCCCTTCCGGTCACCATAGCCGCCGCGGGCCTGGCTTATAGGTGAGATACCGCATCCCTGGAGAAGCTTTCGAGGCCTTAGAAGGTTCTGAAATAGGATACCCTGTCCCTATTTAAGATGGCCATTTGGAGGTATATACCCCATATATTATATATATATTATTATGAAAATATGTTTGTGTGTGTGCATCTTGATTCTGCAAAATCCAGGTGAATCACGTAACAAAAAGGTGCAAAATTGAAAATTCAAAATAACTCCTAGGTCCTAGGTTTCACGGCCTCAGTGGTCACTTTTCAGTTGCCATGTCCTGTGCCACAAAACCTCTGCACCAATGTCTGCAAATTTCCATGTTTTGTCACGGCACATGCTCCATCAAGTCCAACTGCAATGCCAGCTCTCACCATGGAAAGACCCCACCTGTACCGAAACACAAGGCCTTTTCAAACAGCCTCTGTGGCCTTGTGGCTTACTTCTGGTGCAGTACCAATATGGGGCGGTTTCAGCTTAGCTTCTACATCTTCAATTCCAAGACGCTCTGACCAATCGATGGTGGGGTCCGAAAGGCTGAAATTCTGGATGGAGAAGAAAAAGCATGCACCTGAGGGATTTTTTGTGTTCAAAAGAAAACCAAACCATGTCAGTCTACAGGAAATGAGGTTCCAAAAAACCAATGGAACCAGCAAACGTGAGGGGTTAAATTGTTCAAGTGTGATTTAAGACAGGTAGGTTGGTTTCATAGTTAGGCTCGTGATTTGGCTTTGGGTTGATACACCCAGAGTTCGAGAAAATAGAGTTCGAGAATATGTTTGTTTTTGTGATGCGCTAGGGTTTTTACAGCCCAACTGTGGGACGGAATTATACATGCAAGTTGAAGGAAGCCAGCATGGAAATATATAACAGAAGCAACTAGGAGAAAGGCAGACATACCAAATCAAAAAACGGTGGGAATAACACGTGGAACCGAGGCTTGGTTTGAGGCATCCCCACCCTCAAGGGAGCTGTTCAATACGTATTGCCATGTGACCTGGCATGTATAATGAAGGCAATCTGACATCTTTAGTTAACCTTTTTTTGTAACATGACACATTGATTAATGTGTATTTTTACAAACTCAAAAAATACGAGATTTATAATGGATTATTTGGGTCTTGCCAACGGAAATTTAGAAGAGAAACTTATAGTATTTGGAGATGGAGCATGTTTTGGGCCAGAAAAGAGCGGAGCTGAGAAGAGCCAAGAAAGAACAGAAAAGAAGTGAGATGTACTGAGAACAGCTGAGAAGAGCTCTCAAAAGCTGAAAAGAGCTGAAATGAGCAGAAGAGCTCAGAAGAGCAGCCAAGAACCGAGATAAACCAGATAAGCTAAGATGAGTTGAGAAAAGAAGGAGGAATGAGAAAACATTAGATGGGATGAACTAAACTGAGGAGAAGAGAGAAGCTGAGACGAGATGAGATCAGATAAGATGGTGAGATGAAAAGGAAATCTCGAGAAAGAGATGCCAAGAGCAACAAATGTTAGATGACCGGGACGTCAAAAGATGGCTTCTGCTAACCTTGCTTGACATCCTACACGCACACTCTGTTCTTGGCCCTATAGCCTATAGGTGTTGCAATTTTTGAAACTTCTGCCCGCGGCTTGCCCGGCCACTACATGTACATATAATACATGGTACATGTACAATGTAGTTTTATATGGCTCTCTTCTCGAATATGTTGTGACATATCCGGGCATGAATTCCGATATATTCTTTTCGATACGTACTGACAGGATCTCACAAAGCCATGTGGCATGCATTTGTATTCTGACATATGTTCCAAACATGTGCTGACACAACCTGACATAGGTGCTGACCATGCTTGTATGACACTATCTGACGTATACTCGGAGATACGTACTGCCATAATGCGACATTAACCCTGAACATCTGACATATCATCTGTCATACTGACCGCCACCTAGTTCAAAAAAGGAAATTACAATTGCTGACATATGTTTGTTTTGTCTGAAAATAGGGTACCCTTAGACTTGATGGTTCATCCTGATTTCCCTGTCGAAGAACCATGATGGGGTACCCTCAGACACACCCATACAATATGGCATTGGATCTGGCATCTTGGGGCTGGCTACCTATTGGTAGCGGGACCATGAATTGTAACTTGCTGGGGTCTAAGGAGGCTCTCACAAGGTTCCCACCGGCCCCAAGTCGACGCAAAAGAAGCATGTTGGAGATGTATTTAATGTTTACCTAGCAGCTATCTAATCTAACCTAACCTAACCTAATCTAAACGAATAGATCTATAAAGCTATCTGTGTATCATGTATCTATCTATCAATCAATACTCTATCAATCAATCAATCAATCTATCTATCTGTCTGTCTGTCTATCTACCCTAGCCCAACCTACTCTATCTATATATATATCTGTGTATTATTTAAATATCTATCTATCTATCTATCTATCTGTCCGTCTATCTACCTAATTACCTACCTACAACTAGGTTCACGGCTCATATTTGGCCGTGGGCCAAAATGATATTCTGATGGTGTATGCGTCGCAATCAAATCACAGCAGTTACATGGGTTTCTAGTCTTCGTCTGTGGTCGATGTCTGCAAACATATTTATCATATTTTTTCTTCTCTGCGAAATCGGGGTAAACTAGCCGCACCTTCACCAAATTTTGGTCAAGTGGCCCAAAAAAGCGACAGCATTCAAGTGTCCCGAGCTTTTTCGCCAAGCACATGCATGGACTTGGTGTGAAGCGACTGAGGGACTTCGTGATTGGATCCGTGAGCAACTTCTTTTTCGGTAGGTAAGCTTTCAAGGCTTTCCAACTGCCATCAACACTCTGCGTGCCCGCCAGCGTCGACATTTTTTTGATGATGCTGGACGGGCAATGGTCGAGTGAATTCCTTAACTTGCTGAGCAACTTCTTCATTTCAAACGTTGTGCTTTGCGCAGAGACTGCGCCAAGCCATGTTACCATCGCTGACCACAAAAGTTCCTCGTCTTCGAATGTGTTTCACAATTCTATTTCTTCTTGATGCAACGTCTCTGTCGGGGGACACTCTCCTAGACATGACACAACTCGAGTGAATCCTCGAGTTTTTAATTACTTCATCTAACCCGAAAATAACCTCTGGAATAAACAACAATGTCTGTAACCACATTTGCAAAAAAAGTGTATTCCACCGGCTCATACAGGTATTAAAAACTTCAACTGTGTCCACCCTGTATTGCCTGACCTACGTCTCATACCAATATCCAGCCTTGTCTACCAAGTCATATACACGACCCAGCCCAGCCCACTCCCTAGCGTGCAGACGTGGTACCAGCGTAGCACCCGTAGCGTGCAGACTTGGTACCAGCGGAGCATCCGTAGCGTGCAGACGTGGTGCCAGCGTAGCATCCGCAAACGTACACCATCATGCGTACCATGACGTTGCTATGATATCGTAAGAACACGCGTCTGTGCGGATGCAACAGCAGGAAGTTTTTAGCCCCCCCACCCCAACCATCATAACCCAAAAACTGACAAATATGTTACCACGGCGAATTATCAGCCCTGGTCCTCCTACCCATACGGTTCACGGCTCATATTTCGACGTGGGCCAAAATGACCTGATGATGTATATGTCGCAATCAAATCACAGCAGTTACATGGATTTATAGTCTTCGTCTGTGGTCGACCTACCTACCTACCTACCTACCTATCTACTATTCGATCTTTCTATCTTTCTATCTTATCAATCAATCATTCAATCAATAAATCAATCAATCAATGTATTTATCTATCTATCTATCTATCTATCTATCGACCTATCATGTATGTTCTGCCTGTCTACACATCCATCCATGAATCAATCAATCAATCAATCAATCTATCAATCTATCAATCTATCTATCTATCTGCCTATCTGTCTATCTGCCTATCTGTCTATCTGTCTATCTGTCTATCTGTCTATATGGCTATCTGTCTATCTGTCTATATGGCTATCTGTCTATCTTCTCTCTATTTCGTTATCTATTTCTCTATTTATTTCTCTATCTATCTGACTATCTATCTATCTAATCCTATCTATCGATCTATCTATCTATTTATCTAGTTGTTTAGCTATTTATCTGTTCACCTACCTATCGACCTATCTATCCATCCATCCATCCATCCATCCATCTAATCAGTCTGTTTGTCGATTGATCGATCTATCTCTTGTCTATCTGTCTATCTTTCCATTTTTTCTATCTATCTATCACATCAAAGCAATTCCTATCTATCTAAATATCTATCTGTGAAACATTTACCTATCAATATGTCTATCGTTCTATCTATTTATCTATCTACCTACCTACCTATCTATCTATCTATCTATCTACAGTCGTCGACAGAATTTTGGAAATGAAAAATGGTTCGCGCGCCGCAGTTAGCCGAAAAGGTTGGGGACCGAAACCAAGACAAAAGATTAGCGACAGTACGGACTTTCAAACAAAAGAATTTTGGAAATAGCAATTTTCAGATCCTGATCCTCTAAAAAAGAAAAAACAAGTGAGACAAATGTCTACAAAAGCCTTTAATCCACGATGCAAAATTAATTTTGGAAATCTTACTTATCGGATCCTGATCCTTCAAACTACCTAGTTTTGAATGTTTCAGGGTTTTCAGTGCTCAGGGTTGGGCCTACAAGGCAACAAACTGAGGAAAGTGTTAAGGGGTACATGTGAAATTATGCCTCCACATGTCTATTTTGATCTCCCACTGATGCTACTGTAGCCATAATCATGCACTGTAGGCATGGCCAAAAGAATTATGGAAACATGTCAATAGAAAAGTTGTCACCCCTTTCAGTAAACAAATAATTATGGAAATGGTCATATGCCAAGAAGCACCCTCACATGGAAAAAATATATATGGAAATTTAACTGCAGCACGTCACGCCCCTTCCAAAAAGGTTCGGTATACAAGCTATTACCGATTTTTGAGGTGTGCATTTTTATCAGTAAAACAGAATTATGGAAAAATACGGCCCCGGCGCGCCGCAGTTGTTTACCTGCCCATGTCGAACCTTTTTTCCATTTCCAAAATTCTGTCGACGACCATATAAATATATATCTATATATCTATCTACCTACCTACCTACCTACCTATCTATCTATCTGTCTATCTTATCTAATCTTATCTAATCTTATCTAATCTAATCTTATCTATTCTGATCTAATCTGATCTAATCTGATCTAATCTGATCTAATCTAATCTATCTATCTATCTATCTATGTGTCTGTCTATCTATCTGTCTATCTAGTCTGTCTGTTTATCGTTCTATCTATCCATCGATCGATCTATCTTTCTACCTATCTTTCTACCTAAACATCTATCTATCTGTCCGTTTATCTATCTATTTATCTGGCTACCTATCTACCTACCTACCTGTCTATCTATCTATCTTTCTATCTATCCATCTATCCAATTTGTCTGTCTATCGGTCCATTTGTCGATCTGACCTATCTTTTAGGTCATCCGATTTAAACTACCTTTTTCATGTGTTGATTTAATTTGCCTAGTTAAGATAGAGCATGTTAATTTATTTGTTGTTTCTTTCTATGCGTTTAATCTTTAGTTTTAATCACGCTATTTAACCTACCTATTAAATCAATCTTTTTAATCTATCTATTCACTCTATCTTTTTAATTGATAAGTTTAATCCATCTGTTTACTCTATCTGCTGACTTTATTGATTGTATCTATCTGTTTAATCTAGTGATATAATCTATTCTATCTATTCTATCTATTTTATCTATCTATTTATTTTATCTATTCTATCTATTCGATCTAATCATTCTATCTACCTACCTACCTATCTACATATCTGCCTATATACCTATCTACCAATCTACCAATCTACCTATATACCTATCTACCTATCTACCTATCTACCTATCTATCTATCTATCTATCTACCTAACTATATATCTATCTACCTAGCTAGTCTAACCTACTCTACCTGTATCTATTTATATATAGATATATATATATGTGTGTAAGTACATATACATATGTATAAAAGCATATGTATATCTATCTATAGCTTTATCATGTATCTATCTATCGATCTATCTATCTATCTATTTATCTAGTTGTTTAGCTATTTATCTGTCCACCTACCTATCAACCTATCTATCTATCCATCCATCCATCCATCTATCTAATCAGTCTGTTTGTCGACTGATCGATCTATCTTTTGTCTATCTGTCTATCTTTCCATTTTATCTATCTATCAAATCAAATCAATTCCTACCTATCTAAATATCTATCTGTGAAACATTTACCTATCAATATGTCTATCGTTCTATCTATTTATCTATCTACCTACCTATCTATCTATTTATCTATCTATATATATATATATCTATATATATCTATCTGTCTAGCTATCTATCTTATCTAATCTTATCTAATCTTATCTAATCTTATCTAATCTTATCTAATCTGATCTAATCTGATCTAATCTGATCTAATCTGATCTAACCTGATCTAATCTGATCTAATCTGATCTAATCTGATCTAATCTAATCTATCTATCTATCTATGTGTCTGTCTATCTATCTGTCTATCTAGTCTGTCTGTTTATCGTTCTATCTATCCATCGATCGATCTATCTTTCTACCTACCTTTCTACCTAAATATCTATCTATCTGTCCGTTTATCTATCTATTTATCTGGCTACCTATCTACCTACCTACCTGTCTATCTATCTATCTATCTTTCTATCCGTCTATCCAATTTGTCTGTCTTTCGGTCCATTTGTCGATCTGACCTATCTTTTAGGTCATCCGATTTAAACTACCTTTTTCATGTGTTGATTTAATTTGCCTAGTTAAGATAGAGCATGTTAATTTATTTGTTGCTTTTTCTATGCTTTTAATCTTTAGTTTTAATCACGCTATTTAACCTACCTATTAAATCAATCTTTTTAATCTATCTATTCACTCTATCTTTTTAATTGATAAGTTTAATCCATCTGTTTACTCTATCTGCTGACTTTATTGATTGCATCTATCTGTTTAATCTAGTGGTATAATCTATTCTATCTATTCTATCTATTTTATCTATCTATTTATTTTATCTATTCTATCTATTCTATCTAATCATTCTATCTACCTACCTATCTACCTATCTACCTATCTACATATCTGCCTATATACCTATCTACCTATCTATCTATCTACCAATCTACCTATATACCTATCTATCTATCAGTCTACCTATCTACCTACCTACCTACCTACCTACCTATCTATCTATCTATCTACCTATCTATATATCTATCTATCTAGCTAGTCTAACCTACTCTACCTGTATCTATTTATATATAGATATATATGTGTGTAAATAAATATATGTAAATATGCATGTGTATATCTATCTATAGCTGTATCATGCATCTATCTATCGATCTACTCTATCCATCTATCCATCTATCTGTCTATCTGTCTATCTGTCTATCTGTCTATCTGTCTATCTGTCTATCTGTCTAGCTGTCTATCTGTCTATCTGTCTATCTGTCTATCTGTCTATCCATCCATCCGTCCATCTCTGTCTATTTTGTCTATTTCTATTTCTATTCCTATCTCTTTCTCTATCTATTTCTTTATCTCTGTCCATATCTATCTCTATTTCTAAATCTGCATGTGTGAAATCATGCGTGTTGACTATCCTAATTGCATTTTTAAAAAATGAAATTTATCCAACTGTTATACCTTTCCACTGCAGATGGTTCCCAGTCACCAGGAAAAGTCTCAAATGATCTCTGTCCCTTTCCAGCGAGACACGGTACATTCTCTCGGCGTCGTTCTCTGCCGCCACAGAAGATGACCCTGTGGCAAACCCAAAGTTCGGAACCATGGCCACTCTTCCATTAGATACCCTGCAAAAGATTATACAGCTGGCTAGATATCGGACCGGCCCAACACAATGACAAAGGAATAACATATACTCAAAAATACTAAAGCAACCATCCAAGGTTTACAGAGAAACCACCTCAATTTCGCCAAAAGAGGGTACAATTGCAACCATATCCGAATGGTGGGCTTATGATTGTTTATGGCGGTGGGCTTATCAAAGTTTACCACACGAACCGCCAGAGTATCCCTACAAATAAAGTAGGTGTGTGATTGTGCCTAAGTAGCCATGGTCAATTGCAAATCTGGCAGCTCTGATGGCATGTTCTGCTCTGCACGGAACAGAAATAATTGAACATCACTATTACCTTGAATTTGGTGAATATTATATAAATGCTTTCAGCAACAACATGATAATCCATCCAAGCAAGGTGTTCCCATAAAACCACCCCCGTTTTGCTTGGTCATAGCTTCACACCCAACCGCGCCTCAAACTTTAAGGTGGTTTATACTCCCAGCAATAGATACATAAAATACATATATGATAAATCCACCAAAAGCTCAATTTCGCTAGCCTGTCTATGCTTACCATTGTTTACCAGCTTATCAGGGAATAGTTCAGGTACCTTAATCAGAGGTATTGATCTATATAAAGTCTGTGTAAGGCCCAGGGAATATTCTACAAAATATGGCCCTCTATGGTACGATACATCGGGGGATGAGGCTATAGCTCGGGTTTTCTCCAGAAAAAATGATGGCTTTATCCTGCAAAACCAAAGGAAATCTGCAATAAAGATGTTTTAATTAGAGAAATGGATGGTAAATGATGGTAAACCACTTGATTCACTTGATCTTTTGGGCACCCTCATTCTGGAGAAAACCAAATTGGAGATACATGGGGCACACATTGGCGCACAAAATTGGTCCATAGTATCAAACCAAGATGGCGGGCCAACAGGACCAATATAACTTGAGAGTTGCCAATCGGTCTTGGGGTGGCTTGCATGTCATGTCCAAGTTAGCTTGACAATGTCGAGAACCCCATCAAAGCAAGCTTATGACAGCTGCCACAGTGACTCAGACACCACCAAACATCCAATTACCAATACGAAGGCAGGTGACAGGTAGGGGTTAAGAACATTGAAAACCAATATCTAAGATATGCTAATGATTGATGATTATTGACTACTGGGTGCTTAAGGCTGAATTTAAGTAAAGAACACCATGTATATCCATGTATGGGTCATATCAATGCTTTCCATAGGCATGTATTACTAGCCTCATCTTCATTTATATGTAAATCTTATGATAACTGGTTGGTGGTTTCAACCCCTCTGAAAAATATTAGTCAGTTGGGATGATTCTTCCCAATATTATATATGGAAAAATAAAAAAAAAGATCCAAACCACCAACCAGATACAGTATATAATAATGTAATGGTTAAACTTAGCACTTCCACAAAGGCTTTGCTGAGGCGGGGTCTGCTCGAGCCAACCTGGCGAGGGGAAATCCATAGAAATGCATGGAGGTGGTTAGATCATTCCCACTGTCCAGCTGCCTAGTCAAACAGCCAAACATGTCAAAAAAGTCAAAATGCGGGCGCCCAGGGACACTACTATATACTACCTACCCTCTGGTAATGACTATGACTAACAGTTTGCGAACTTGAAAATGGTGATTTATAGTGCATTTACCCAGCTGGATAGCATGGTGATTTTTCATAGTTACGGGACAGTTGACCAGAGGGTATCATTATACCCCACTTTATCCCAGTTCCCAACTCCCAAGATGGCGCCTCTTGCGGTCAAATTCGCCTCCGGGAAGGGAAGTTCAATGGGATGATCAAAGACATCCATTCCCTGGAACAGTTTCTGCGCACGCAGGGACTGCAACAGCGACTCCTAAGCTCAAAATGGCCATGTTCAATGAGGAAACTGAGGATGAAGTGGTGGTTTATATTTGAGCTATGAAGGTTCAGCATTTGTTTACTATTGGTATCGGTTTCGGTTTCTTTTACAGGAATGGAATAAATATGAAACACACACCAGCGAAAGTAGGATATAATGGAATGCGCCAACAAAATGTACGATTTTTTTAGGTGCGGAGTTCAGAAGTTCCAGCACTGTTTTTTTGGCCCACCAAATCCAAATCAGCTCGCAAGTGAGAAAACTTACACCTGAGATATTGGTTTGATATGACACCCAGTGAAACTAGGTAATTAACGCTCCATGAAGGTATTTGTCCAAACCACGCTGGGGTTCAATCCAAAGGCCCTTTGGAGCAAATTTTTATGCAGATCAAAAGGACCAAATTGTCCCTCTGGCATTCAAACATGGCAATTGGAAATCATCCGTTGATAGATGATCTTCGCATTAATGTTGGATGCTGATTAGTGGGTAGGCTTGCTATTGTGCCAAAAAAACACAAATTATTCAATTATTCTGAACCCATGCATTGCTTGGCAGCTTCGCTATTGTGGCAAGAAATCTTGGGGGGGGGCATTTTTTTGTCAAAAAAAAAGTTTGTGGAAAAAATCTAAACACATTTTTTTCTGAAAAGAATCTTGCTTCTCTCCATGTCCCAAAAGAATCAGACCGCTTATTAAACCCTTATTGAAGAACAGTTTTTCCACAAATTTCCAAGGCGCTGGGCCATGAGAGGGTCCAATTCACTTTAGTAGGTTTGTTCGCACGGTTCACAATTGCAGCTAACTTTTCCAGAGCTGATCCTGGAGCCAAGAGAAGAAAGGCCTTTTACACAAGCAATTGCCAAATTCAAAGTCCAAACCTTTCCCACAAGAATCAGACCGCTTATTAAACCCTTATTTAAAAACAGTTTTTCCACAAATTTCCAAGGCACTGGGCCATGAGAGGGCCCAATTCACTTTAGTGGTTTGTTCGCACGGTTCACAATTGCAGCAAACTTTTCCAGAGCTGATCCTAGAGCCAAGAGAAGAAAGAAACGCCTTTTACAAACGCAATTGCCAAGCTCAAAGGCCAAACCTTTCCCAAAAGAATCAGACCGCTTATTAAACCCTTATTAAAGAACAGTTTTTCCACAAATTTCCAAGGCACTGGGCCATGAGAGGGCCCAATTCACTTTAGTGGTTTGTTCGCACGGTTCACAACTGCAGCAAACTTTTCCAGAGCTGATCCTGGAGCCAAGAGAAGAAAGAAACGCCTTTTACAAAAGCAACCTGTTCGTTCTCGTTCCACGTCTCTTTCTCTTTTCCTTTCTCTTTCCCTTATCCGTTATCTTTCTCTTTCTCTTCGTCTTCCTCTTCCCCCTTCCTCTTTCTCTTCCTCTTCCTCTTCTTCTTCCTCTTCCTCTCTCTTTCTATCTCTTTCTCTCGTTCCCTTTCGCTTTTCTTTCTCTTTCTCTTTCTCCTTCTCTTATTGCATGGTTCATTAAGAACAAACTTAAGGTGGAAAAGGTAACGCAATCAACATGCTGAACCCCACTCACTACAAGTACTACAAGTACTACAAGTACTACAAGTACTACAAGTACATCGACAAAAAAAGAAGTTTTAATTAGATTTCAATTGTAGCCAATTGAAATCCTTACTTAAGTGCGTTTTTTTCCTGGGAAGAAACTTTTTGGTGCACAACTTTGAAGAGGGTATAGCTATTGTTGAGGGGAGGGGGGAGGGGGGGTACGGGAGGGGGGGCTCACACTAATCAGGACACAACATTAAAAACATTTAAACACCTTCATTCCCATCGGATTTCTGAATGATAAAACCGGAGGGTGTTTAAACTGTGTGCAAAAACGCCAAAAACATCCCGACCAAAAAACGTGGCGGCGTGCTCATTCAGCTCCAAGAGGATGAAAACACGGAGTGAAACATTGCGCTTTGGATCTTTTTGGAAGCGAACACATAATGATTTTTTGTTGTTCCGGTCAATTCCATTGGTGTTTCAGTTTTTCATCGGTTATGCTGCAAAGCTTACAGTAGGTTCTTGTAGAAACTCTGTTCAGCAAGAAGTTCCTTGACAATGACAGTTTCCTTTTCACACAAGGTCATCTTTTTTTGCGTTTTCAAAGACTCTTTCACAGCTTTGGTTGTTGGCTTCCACAATTCTTCAACAAGTTGGTACATGTTAATGCTTGCGAGGTGAAAGTCGCGCATGTAGCCGTGTACATTTTATGAACATGTGGTGGGGTGGGGCCAATCATGTTCCTGTTTCTTTGCGCACATACGTACATTCTCGTGTCTTTGCGCACATACTGTAGGGAATGTCATGTTGTGAGTTGTGAGGTCTTCCTTTACACTTGCACACATGTTTTGGGTTGCGCTGTGTCATCGGCTTTTGTCTTTCTTATATTTCTTGACCCTACGTTATGAGATCTGCTCTCCTATGCGATTACATCCTGCAACATGGGGTGGGGTGGGGTTGGGTGGGGTTGGGGCCAGTAGCGGTCATGTTGCTTTGCTTACATGGGGGATGGTACGTTGTGAGATCTTCTCTTGCATTTTCTAGCATCCTGAATGCTACGCTTGATGTCAATCACTGACCACGCTTTGAGCAATGGGTCCTGGTGGAAGGTATTTTTAAAACCTCTCCATCAACGCAGTATGTGGCGCGCGTACCTGTGCGTGCGCCAAAAATCACAGCATAGCGTGATTCACGTGTATGGCAAGACAGGACAAGAAAGATCATAGCGTATTATGCGGTCCATGGCAAGAAAAACATTAACGCAGCATACATTGCGCGTAGGATGGCAACGCTGATAGCGTAGTTTGACGGCACTGTGAAGTTACAATGAGCGTAGTATGATGACAGCGCGCCTTGTAAGGAACGTTAGTACCAGTAGCCCCCACCCACCCCAACACCTCAGCATGGGAATCATGATCCATGTATATAGACAAGTTGAAAAATGCTACACGTTCCATTTCCATCCATTTCCGGTCCCAAAACAACCGGCCTGAGAGATCCATCCGGGCTATCATGGGAGCTGAAACAACACCAACCATAGCATGATACAAGATTTTTAGCCCCAAATCATGAGCCAAGGCGGCGAACATAACTCCAATAATGTTAGGCTTATAGATCTTATAGTTGACGATACACATATCACATATCTCGAAACACAAAACAAACACAACCAGGGGGCACCACCTGGTTCCTGACGCTGACAACAGCTTCAGCAAAATCAGCATGAGCATGATCAAGTGTCACAGTCAAACAAACACGTCCTGGGAACAAACTACGTATGCATAGTCTATTTATTATAGTCTCACAGCTGACATCCCATGCTGTTCGTTGTAACCTCGTCTCCTTTATAACCCCCTATACTGGACCATACTGGATCCAAACATGCACAACTCCAACACGAAACTAAGAGTTTTGGAGGGTGCTTACTACTATTGCGGACGAGATGATTCAGATTGTTCAACAATCTGTTGCAAATAAAAGCAGCATTCTAGCCGGAGAATTCACGATAAATCATCAATATCATCAATTTAGAGGATTGTTGTACATTGGCTTTGCTGAGAAAAAATGCCTCAGGAATTCTGCCCCTCACCATCCCTTACCCGCAGCAAGGAGTCTTGGGTGAAGCTTGAATTCCTCTTACCTGCAGCTGTGCTGACATCAACTCCGAGCTGACAATCCGACTATCCATCACCAAGGTTTATCCAATCTGCGCAGCTAGTGTTGGTATGCGAATGATGCGGTGGATAAGTGAAGTCCATGGTTGAAAACCGCGTGGCACCGGCACATATTTGACGGAGAACTCGATGTCATGAAAAACAAGCAAAGGTGGATATTTTCATTTTTAACATCAATCCTAGTTATACTAGGTCCTGGTGAGTTAGGATTTAGCTGTTCCAGACAGTTAGGTTCTCCCTGGGGCGGGCTCCTAACTCTTGTGCTGCCGAGGCTCAAGTTATATTTTTTTAATGGTTCCAGCAGAGATGTGATAGGAGTCACGTACGCCTCTAGGTCCTATCTCATGTTTTTTCCTAACATCCACAAAGAGCCTCAAGTCACGCATCATGCGAACTTCAAAAGCAGGGAACGCCATGATAGAGCAGACTACATGAGTTAGGAAAAGGGCTTGAAATTAACTTCCTTAGTTCCTATCTCTGATTGCACAAGCCTAGGGATTTTTCTAGCAAACCTTGCGCAAGGACCCATGAGTTAGGACAAACTCTTGAAATTGATCAGGCTGCTTCCTATCTCATGTGCATCGGTAATACTCACCAAGTTTTGTATTGACTGCCTCAAACACTAGCCTTGAGCTCCATAAGTCCAAACTCATCTGCATCTTCTCTCTTTCTCTCTCTCTTTCTCTCTCTCTCTCTCTATCTCTCTCTCTCTCTACCATCTCTTTTCCCGCTTTCTTCGCGGTTGGTGCAAGTGTTTAAGGCAATCCAATATAGAAGCAACCCAGCGAGGTATAAGCTCAGCCTTGAGCTCCATAAGTCCTAACTCATCTGCCTCTTCTCTCTCTCTCTCTCTACCCTCTTTTTTCCCGCTTTCTTCGGGGTTGGTGCAAGTGTTTAAGGCAATCCAATATAGAAGCAACCCAGCGAGGTATAAGCTCAGCCTTGAGCTCCATAAGTCCTAACTCATCTGCCTCTTTTCTCTCTCTCTCTCTACCCTCTTTTTTCCCGCTTTCTTCGGGGTTGGTGCAAGTGTTTAAGGCAATCCAAAAAAGAAGCAGCCCAGCGGGGTATAGGCTTAGCCTTGAGCTCCATAAGTCCTAACTCATCTGCTTCTTCTCTCTCCCTCTCTCTCTCTCTCTATACGATGTCTTTTCCCGCTTTCTTCGGGGTTGGTGCAAGTGTTGAAGGCCAGCGGGGTATAAGCTTAGCCTTGAGCTCCATAAGTCCTAACTCATCTGCCTCTCCTCTCTCTCTCTCTCTATCTCTCTGTTCCTTCTCTATACCCTCTTTTTTCCCGCTTTCTTCGGGGTTGGTGCACGTGTTTAAGGCAGTCCAAAAAAGAAGCAGCCCAGCGGGATACAAGCTTAGCCGGCTTAGCCTTGAGCTCCATAAGTCCTAACTCATCTGCTTCTTCTCTCTCCCTCTCTCTCTCTCTCTATACCATGTCTTTTCTCGCTTTCTTCGGGGTTGGTGCAAGTGTTGAAGGCCAGAGGGGTATAGGCTTAGCCTTGAGCTCCATAAGTCCTAACTCACCTGCCTCTTCTCTCTTTCTCTTTCTCTCTCTCTCTCTCTCTCCCTACCCTCTTTTTTCCCGCTTTCTTCGGGGTTGGTGCAAGTGTTTAAGGCAGTCCAATATAGAAGCAGCCCAGCGGGATACAAGCTTAGCCTTGAGCTCCATAAGTCCTAACTCATCTGCCTCCTCTCTCTCTCTCTCTATCTATACTCTCTTTTTTCCCGCTTTCTTCGGGGTTGGTGCAAATATTGAAGACAATCCAATATAGAAGCAGCTCAGCGGGGTATAAGCTTAGCCTTGAGCTCCATAAGTCCTAACTCATCTGCCTCTTCTCTATTTCTCTCTCTCTCTCTCTCTCTCGCTCTCCCTCTCCCTCTCTCTCCCCTCTTTTTTCCCGCTTTCTTCGGGGTTGGTGCAAGTGTTTAAGGCAGTCCAATATAGAAGCGGCCCAGCGGGATACAAGCTTAGCCATGAGCTCCATAAGTCCTAACTCATCTGCCTCTTCCCTATTCCCTCTTCCCTCTTCCCTCTTCCTTCTCTCCCTCTTCCCCCTCTCCCTCTCTCCCTCTCTCTCCCTCTCCTCTCCCTCTTCTCTCCCTCTTCTCTCCCTCTTCTCTCCCTCTTCTCTCCCTCTTCTCTCCCTCTTCTCTCCCTCTTCTCTCCCTCTTCTCTCTCTCTCTCTCTCTCTCTCTCTCTGCCGCAGCCTATACCCCGCTGGGCTGCTTCTGTATTTAATTGATTCAATCAATGAGATGAGAACTCAAAGAAAAGTGCAAAAGATATATGGCGAGGGAAGAGGCAGATGAGTTTGGACTTTTGGGGTCAAGGCTGTCTGCAGCACAATGTACAACCCTACCAAACACATAGTTCAGACTGGGGAGGAAAGCCTTCCACTACTTGACATGAGTTAGGAGCGGCTCTTATTTACTTACTCGGAAAGCGGCAGTTACCATTACTAACAGTTTTGCCAGTTTGCGCTTGGGCCCTACCATCGCGAAGGACTCAAAAAGTCCAAAGGGAACAGCGTAGCTTATAAAAGACGCGCGCGCGCACTACGCATGGTGTGACAGCCGCTCATCTAAATCTAAAATCCCAACTCATGTGACATGTCGCGTGCTCAAAAGGCCTCAGTTAACTACATGAGATGGGACTCAACAACCAATTTTTACTCATCTATTTCCTAACTCATATCTCATTTTCAGCTATTCTCAGGACGCTCCAGTGCTGCGATAGCCACTTGAGTTAGGAGTTACCCTGGCAACTCCTATCTCACAGAGGGACACTGCTCAAAACATACAAAATTTAATACTGATTTTCATGTTTTTTTTGTTTAAAATGCACTAAAACCACTCCTGAGTTAGGACTTACATACATTTTTTCGATCCAAAAATCAATTTTCACATGAGTTAGGAAATTCAATTTTCTGGTTCGTCCGCAGAGGCCTAAGTCATCCTAACCTAGTATAAGTTGAGGCTATCGCCGATGCTTCCCCGCGTGCCACTAATCATCACTTACATTCATCCACAGTGCACACTGTGGAGTTGGCATCAGTAAAAAACAACACGTATTGGCTTTGGTTGGTTCTAACCTCGCACCGCTGAGATCCGCTGAGTGTGAATGACGCGCCCCGAGTTTCTTCTACGTTTGGTGAACCGGTGGAATCGCCATTGTGCCAAAAAACAATTTCATGACAAGTTGCAGTTTCCAACATTCAGCGTTCCAGCGCCAGTGAATTGCAGGCACTCCTGCAAAAGGAACTGATCATCTGATAAATCCTTGCGATGATCATCCCATTTCCTTGTAAACAAAACATGGAAACATCCCAAAACAAAAAACCACCAAAACCACCAGCAAACTTGAAATATTGTGGAAAACCAAGTCATTTTTTGATAAATCGGCCAGTTCGGGCGTACCGCTAGGTGAGGCGCCTAAGATGTTAGTTGGTTGGAAAAGCCTCCAGTAACGTAACTATAGTTATGTCCCCCATCCCCGATCCCAAACGTTAACCCAACATAACCCAACAAGTCAACTTAGCGACTGTGGAGCCTCGCCATGGATAAGGACTGGAAACATCTGGGATCGGCGTATATGAAAACCTGGGATAACCTCAAGGGGTCTGCAAGCCTATGCGTTAAACCGTTAAACTAAATAAGGCCTTCTCTTATTGATTATCCACTATACCTGGGATCTTATTAGGTTTCCGTTTTGCAGAGATAGACAGTACGTTTGCAAAATCTCGAGTGGATTGGTCCGGATCATTGTCAGGATGGTACTTTCCTTCCAGTGACGTTTCCACCATGACAGGTGTCAATCCAGCTTTGTTCGTGTTCATGTTAGATTTT